GAAAGCCCAGACTGTAGAACTGAATACCACTCTTCTATTTCCTTTTCTTGCAAAACTCTTCCAATCGCATTTGCTGCTAGAGGTAGACCTCCACATTTCCCAGCAATCTCCAATCCAGTAATCGCAAATTGTGTAGGTACTTTTTTATTTTGAAATGTCATTTCTCTGATTATGGACCAGCAATCATGATCTGCCAATGGTCTCAAGCTGTATGGATGATCGCAAGTGTTCACAATAGATGCGACCTTTTCCTTACGTGTGGTGACGATAATGAAATTTCCTTCATTGGAGCTAACTCCCACCAGAGTATTCTTGAAAACATTCCATTCACGTGTTTCTTCATTCCATAAATCATCAAGAACAATCAAGTACCTTTTGTCCTTTAATTCCTCTGCAACCTTTTGAACAACAGCTTCCATGCTACCTCCATAAAAATCTTTGTCCACTAATAATTCCAGGATCCTTTTAAAAAGATTCAGCTGATCAAAATTTTCTGATACACAGACCCAAATCCTTTTGTCAAAATGGGTTTGTGTACGAGGGTCCTTGAAGATGTTGCGTGCTAAAGTCGTCTTGCCAAGCCCTCCCATTCCGACTATGGGAAGGACTGAAAGGACATTATTGACTGAGCTAGTTATCGTCTCCAGAATTTCTGATTCATCATTTTCTCTTCCAATGACAAATGGATCAACAGTGAAGCTGGTAGTTTCAATGGCTCGAGGCAGTGCAAGATGATAATCTTTGAATTCTCTTTTGAGGCGAAGTTCATCAGCTACGTTGTTTATTTTTTTGAAATTTTCATTTATGTCCTTGATCTTGTGAGACATCTTCCAATGAAAAGTGATTTTGTGAGCCATCTTGCGTAGAAATGTCATAATGCAGGGGAAGTTTAAGCACCCAATCTCGTCCTCTGTCTCTACTGTACGACGCAAATCTTCATATTTGATCTCGTCCAAAACATTGTCGGCACCATAGGCAGCATCTTCGAGGTCCTTGAGCCATTTTTCAACAGCCTTCTCGGTGATTTCGCGCTTCTTAGCATCTTCCAAAACTTCGTAGACGATTTCGAGATATTTTTTTAGATTTGCAAATTCATTCTCAAAACCCCGGACAAGTTTGAATTCTTCTACGGGTACAGGCAACAACT